CTTGTCCCACTCCACAATCTCCGTTCAGGCCCTTCTTCTAGTTATAAAGAATTCAGGGCTGGCTGTGGCCGTTTGGTTTTAATTGGAAACTGTCTCTTTAAATTTTGAGGAGATCTGTGAGCATGCGTAGTAGAACCCTCTGAGGGTTACCAGAATAGTTACCAGAATAGAGGTGCATAAACAGCAAGGGACAAATGAACAGCTACCAAAAGAAAAGAATGTCCACACTTTTATCTCTACGGTTCTGCCAGGCATCTATGGCCGCTCTGATCCTTCCCCCACTTTGTCTCACCCAAGATGGTGGCTACTGGAGCAGCTGAGCATTCCGAACTAGAATGCAATAGATTTCTTGCTTCTGCTACAAGTTCCCTCAGCTCTAAGCCTTCCAACCTTCTAAATATTCCTTTATAGGACCATCCCCTGAGACTGCTTGGTCCGGTATTCTATGTTGTTGCTGCCTGAGTTCTTCACTATATGTCCACCCAATCTGCCATCTTGTTTGTTCCTCTACCATTGACTCTTAATCATATGCTACCTGTTGAAATGGTTGAGTAGCTACCATTTCCTTTTGGTACTGTGACTTTGTGTATTCCTTCCATATTCTATTGATGCTTTTGCAATTCATTGAATATATTGCCCTGGTGTGGCACTGTTGGTTACTGCGCCAGACTGCAAAGCCATTTGAACTGCGAGGTTGGTAGTTCAAGCTAACTAGTCACTCCTCAGAAACCCTATACAGGGTCACTATGAGTTGCAACTGACTTGACGGCACTTCATAACAACAACAACAATTGCCCATAAAATAGTTCAATATTACAAGTGGAGGCTTGAGTTATTTCTTCAGTTCTTTCAGTTTGAGAAATGCTGAAAGTATTTTCCCTTTTGGTTTTCTAGCTCCAGGTCTTTGCATACTTCATTATAATACTTGGCATTGTCTTTTTGAGCTGCCCTTTGAAATTTTCTGTTCAGCAATTTTATCCCTTTATTTCTTCCATTTGCTTTAGCATCTCTGCACTAGAGAGCAAGTTTCAGAGTCTTTTATGACATCCGTTTTGTTTTTTTCCTTCTTTTTGCTCATCTTAATGACCTTTTGCTTTCTTCCTGTATGATGATGTTCTTGATGTCATCCCAGAACTCTTCTTCAGTTATTAGTATCTAATGCATCAAATCTGTTCTTGAGATGATCTCTAAATTCAGGTGTGATATGATTAAGATCATATTTTGGCTCTTGGGGACTTGTTTTAATTTTCTTCAATTTTAGCATGAACTTTACATATGAACAATTGATAACCTTTTCACAGTTTGCCCCTGGCCTTGTCTTGGCTGTTAATATGGAACTTTTCCACTGTCTCTTCCAACATATGTAGTCAGTTTGATCCCTGTGTATTCATTTGGTGAGTTCCATGTGTATCTTCTTTGTTTAAAAAGGTATTTGCAATGAAGAAGTCTTTGGTTTTGCAAAATTCTATTATAGTCTCCAGCATTGTTTCTGTCATTAAGTCCACATTTTCAAACTACTGATCCTTCCTCTTTGTTTCCAATTACCAGTAATTATCACTACATCTTGATTGCATGTTTGTTCACAATTTCTCACTGAAGAAGTTTTTGTTGTTGTTGGTGGTAGTTGTGTGCTGTGGAGTAAGTTCTGACTCATAGTGACCCTGTATAGGCTTTTCGAGGCTGTAAATATTTACAGGAGTAGAAAGCTTTATCTTTCTCCTGTGGAGTGGCTGGTAGTTTCAAACTGTTGACCTTGAAGTTAGCAGTCTGACTCATAATCACTACACTACCCATTAAGGGATGCATATACCTAAAAACAATAAAAGAAATCTTCCTATCCTTGAACAACTTTTGTCCCATTGGGGGGATCAGCCCTGTTGAGAATTCATGCTTTAGGGAGATGGTGCCATGTGGAGGTTATGCAGTGAGCAGGATGTCAACAGACAGGGGTATGAGACCCAGCTCCAATCACTTGCCACTAAGTGATCTTGGGCAAGTTACTTCGTATCCCCAAGCTCAGTTTCCTGATAGCTTTGAACTGCTGACCATGAGGTTAGTAGCCCATCTAGTAACCTATATGTTGCCAAAGCTCCCTGAAAAAGTTGGTAGAGTTCCTCAAATTCATCATCACTGGCTTTAGTGGTTAGTGTGTAAATTTGAACAATAGTTGTATTAACTGGTCTTCCTTATGGGTGTATGGATATGATCCTACCACAGACAGCATTATAATTCAAGATAGATCTTGACATTTTCTTATTTTGAACCACATGGGCCTCAAGCTGGAGAGGAGGTGGAAATAAAATGTAGGGGCTGTTACCTGCAGAAGAAGGAATGAGCGATAGGGAGGCACAAGAAATGGTGGTTACATGGGTTTCTCTAAACATCTCTGCATCCATACTGTCCCTATCTATCATCCAGTTCCGACCTTTCCTGGTGATTTACTGTGTATAAGATAGAGACCTCAAAAATGGAATGAAATTGAACACTTCTCTTCCTCTTGTATGGCAGATTCAACTTGGATCCCTTTGACTGCTACACAGATGAGCAGATCTGGAATGCCTTGGGAAGGACATTCCTGATCAAGACAGTAAGTAGTTCCAAAGCTTTATTACCCTGCCTCTTCAACAGGGAAACTGCTCCCCTCACATTATATTTCAGATCTGCTGCTTTGAGGGATAAACTAAATAATCTCATGAAAGTGAGATGGCTTGGAATTAATGAATGAAAATGGCTTGCTCTGAGTCCAATCATGTACCAGTCAATCACTGTTTAGGCTCCAGGTAGCAGCAAAGACAAGGTCTTCGCCTTCCTACTGCTTCCATTCAATGGAACATAATGGCAACAAAACCACTAATACCTGCGACACCTTCAGATAGTGGTAGTTCTGTATCATAGTATAACAGAGTAATAGGACCAACAGAAACTTCAGTGGGGTGCAGCAACTTTACATCATGTGGCCAGGCAAGGCCTTTTAAAGGACATTTGAGCTGAGGTACAGAGGCCTTGAGATGAGTATAAGCTAGGCACAAGTAAGGAACAGAAAGACAAGTGGCAAAAGTGGAAAATGAGGGATGAGAAGTGATACAAAAGGTTACAGGAGAGGCCCAGGGCATGGTCAACTCCTCACCTCCTTCACAGTGGTCAACATGGCTTCACTTCTTCCCTTAGATCTCAAAGTTTCCAAAAAGACTGCAAGCAGAAGTTGTGGAAAATGGTGAAAACTTCTCTGTGGGAGAGAGACAATTGTTCTGCATCGCTCGAGCCCTCCTCCGAAACTCCAAGGTAAGACTCCACCACAGGGTGGGGGCACCATAGGGCGGGGGCTAAGAGGTCACAAGAAGTTGTGAATGATGTCTGGTGAAGGGCATCATGGGGTGCGCAGTGGTGCCACACTGGACTTCAAGCCACAAGATCAGTGGTAAGAGCTCACTAGCTGTTCCATGGGAGAAAGATGAGACTTTCTGTTCCCACAAAAATTTAAAAATCCTTAGGAACCCTACGCAGACAAGGTTGCTATGAATTGGAACTGATTTGATGGCGCTCACAACAACAATAACAATGGATCAGCACACTGGCAATTTCTTCCTCTATTGTCACAGGAATGTGGGTACCATGCGTTTTCTACAAAATCCAAAGAGCTTATAAATTTTATTGAATGTCTTTTCATGTGTTAAGTCAAAAAGTATTGCTACAAATAATAAAAAACCTTATTAAACAAAAAGATCTAAAGGTGAAGATATTGTTTTTCAACATATTCTCCGTCTAGGTGTTTATACTTCTGAAGGTGGTGTTTCCATTTCTATATCCCATCCTGAAATAATTTTGTGACCTTCAACTTACACCATATCAAAATTGTAGTACTGGCATCCTTGAGGGACAAATTTTATTCTTTTAAATGTCCTTTGAGTTTGGGGAACAAAAAGAAGACTGAAGAGACAAGATCAGGGTTTTAGGGTGTGAGGGGTAAGGTTTTCCAATGCAATTCTTGTAGGAACTTTGTCATGATGGAAAACAATTCCTTATCACGATGTTCTTGACCTTTTTCTGACCAATGGAATTTTCAATTTTCTTTCAATTTCTTCCTAATAAGTGCCTTTGATGGTTCTGTGTTTTGTGAGGAACTCTATCAAGGTTATTCCTTTGGGATCCCATGAAACCAGTTGCCATAATCTTCTGAGCTGACCTGTCTTTAATGTAACTGGACCAGCAGGTTCCCCTCGGAAGTCACTGTTTTAACTGGATCTTTTTTTTGAAGACACATTAAATGAGATTAAGACTAGTGTATTACTGAGAGAGCTTGTCTGTGGCTATCCTTTGACCTCAGAGACATGTTATATATATCTTTTTTGGAATAAACCTGTGTATATTTAAACTGGGACCCTAGTAGCAATGTTTTTTGGCTTACTTCATATTTATGGAATGGGAGAGGTGTTGTTCACAAAACCCTGATTCCCGGCTACTAAGCTGAAATGTTCCACCACAAAAACCAAATTATGATGCTCTTTTCCTTAGGAGAAGCCAAGGGCGTTAGAAGCTTACTGCTTTTTTTTTTTTTTTTTTCTTTTTCAGTAAACTCAGGTGCCATCAAGTAGGTTCTGACTCATGGAGACCCCATGTAGATCTGTATTCTGTATTTTTTTCAGTAGATCTGTATTCTGTATTTTTTTCAGTGGATGACTTTTCAGATGTAGATTGCCAGACCTTTCTTCTGAGGCTCCTCAGAATGGGCTTGAATCTCCCACTTTTCAGTTAGTAGCTATGCATATTAATTGTCTGTACCACCAAGAACTCCATGAATGACTTTTAAAAACTGCCTCATCTTAAACAATAACTTTTTTGAAATCATATTTTACATGCTAGTTATATTTTTCTAATGCATATTGCTAATTAAATAAGTATAAAAATGTTAAAAAAAAAAAAGAAAGAATGTGCATTCATACAGTAACTACAACCAGCTCATATGAATCTAGGGTGTGCATTTACCATTCTTTGGGGAACAAATGGGGAATGTCTATTCAGGCAAATAGGAAGGCAGTTAATAAAACAAAAGGTTGCCACTGGAATACTTTAATTTCTAAGAACGAATCTCTTTGTTCAATAAAATAAAGTTAGCTTTTGATTGAGGCCTAGACATTCTCTTTGTACTGTAAAGGATAATTAGAACTCAAGTGAGTTTTGAATTCAGTCCAATTCCCTCAGTTCATAGTGCATGAATCTTAAGCCTGGAGAGAAGTTCTCCTAGTTAGTTAGTGGTAAAACCAGTACAAGACCCGGGTCCTCAGAGGTGAGGAGGCCATGTTCACCCATGTTTTTTGTCCACCAGATCATCCTTATTGATGAAGCCACAGCCTCCATTGACCTAGAGACTGACAACCTGATCCAGGACACCATCCGTGAGGCCTTCCAGGACTGCACAGTGCTGATCATCGCACATCGCATCATCACGGTCTTCAACTGTGACCGCATCCTTGTCATGGACAATGGGAAGGTGAGAGCCACCACATTAGGTTAACGGGAGGAAGAATGATGTACAGACCTTCAGATTCTTCAAGACTGAGCTTAGCTGTGTCCTAGCCCTCTCTCTTCCTTTCTCTGCCTCCTAGGTCATGGAGTTTGATAAGCCTGAAGTTCTGCAGAAGAAACCCGGGTCAGTGTTTGCAGCCCTGCTGGCCTCAACCAACTCTTCACTGAGCTAAGCAAAGTGGAGTCTGCATGAGGCTGGTGGGGCCAGGCTCTGGGGGGGTCCTCAAGGTGTAGCGTGAGGAAAACAGGCATACTAGTGATTGGTTGAAAAGGAAGAATGAGGAAGCAAAACCTGGAATAGACGACTCTGTGGCCCCCTAAACCTGGACATCTCAGCACCATTTGAAACCATGGAGTGAAATGATCATGTATCTCTTTTTAAACATATACACAAAATAATTTCACAATAATGTAAAAGCTTATTATGACATTCTGATCTGTAGTAAAGATAACTGCAAATGATGCATTGACTTTGTAAAAAATAAAACTAAGGAAAAGTCACTTTCTGTTTGTGCTTTCTATATTGGCTGGTACTTGTTCAATTGCAAGGAACAGAGACCCTTTCCAAGTGGCTCATATAACTGACAGGTCCTAAAATGTTCTTGATTGGGAGCCAAAATGAAAAAGATGTCTGTCCTGGGACTCTGGTTCTCTTCTTTGAACTCTGGTTTCCCTAGATTTCTGGCCTTCTCCCACCTCAGTTGGTAACATGGCTGCCAGCAGCTCCAAGCTACTATCATCTCAGTAACTCTACCACTTCCTTCCCCAACAGCTCTGGCAAAAGCTCCAAAGCTAAATATCACTGGGTTGACTTGGGTCATGTACTTATTCCTGAGCCAATCACATGCTAGACTGTTGGAAGAAATGACTTGACCGATCCAAGTCATATGCTTATATCTGGGGTTAGGATCAGCTGACCTGAATCACATGGATTGAGAGTGGAGAGGGTTGGTTCTCAAAATAAAATTGGTGTGCTCTTACTAGATGAAGGAGGAATGGATATGAAAGCTGAGCAGCTCCAAGCAGAAGTTGTCTGCCATATGTTTATTTACTAATTAGGAACATAGGTGGGTAGACTAGAGACATAACCTGCAACACATGGCAACTGGAAATAAAATAATTTGTTATCTGTCTGTCTATCTATCTATCATATATCTATCATCTATTGATCATCTCCCCATGTGGTTATAGACAGGTAAACAGAAAAGGTATTTATTTTCAATTTGCTTCTAGGGGATAGATAGGGTAAACAATTTAGTTTTAGCCAAAGTAAGATAAAATTTGTCTTTAGTTTATGATAAGCAATCTTTTTTTCTCATAAACAAGGGGTACCTTGTTCCAGGACTTCCAAGTCATACCTGAGGATTTGTGCTAGTGAGTGGGGGCTGGATGCACCAGAAAAGACTCACCTGGGCCACCAATATCAACTAGACTCAGGAGGTATGCTTTAGCCTGTAATGAAGTACTGGCTGTTAAAAGCCTGGAACATGAAGTTTCTACTCCTGGTTGGTGAAAGACAACCATGCATCTAAAAAGGTTATGCTCCACGTTGGGCACCCTCCCAGACCTCTGTCATGAGTCTCCTCTTTATGATGATACTTATATGTATCATTTTGCTATAATAAATCTATAATCATAAATATAGTGCTCTCTGTGAGTTTTGTGAGTTGTTCCAGCAAATTCTTGAACCCCAAGGAGAAAGGGGTAGTCAGCAGGTGAAAGTGAGGGTGTCATGTGAACTCCTAGCTTGCATATGACATCTGTCTATTGGGGAGTCCAAATGATGGTATTCTTTTAACCTGTTAGATCTTCCCTAATGCTGTGTCTTTAGGGTCAGACAGAAAGTATGCCATGAGGATGGCGGGTGACAGAAATGATGAAGTGGGAAGATGATAACTAGATTAATCTTCATATTTGGGGGGTTGGAATCACGTTGATTCCTATCCATGAAGCTATCCATGAATAGTGAGACTTTCTTGTTGTTGTTAGGTGCCATTGAGTAGTTACCGACTTATAGTGTGACCTTATGCACAACAGAACAAAACACTGCCTGGTCAACCTCACAGTCATTGCTACACTTGAGCCCATTGTTGCTGCTACTGTGTCAGTCCATCTCATTGGGGCTCTTCCTCTTTTATGCTGACCCTCTTCTTCACCAAGCATAATGTCCTTCTCCAAGGACTGGTCCCTCCTGATGATATGTCCAAAGTATGAGAGATGAAGTCCAGCCAGCCTGGCTTTTAAAGAGCATTCTGGCTGCACTTCTTCTAACACAGGTTTGTTTGTTCTTTTGGTGGTCCATGATACTTTAAAAATTCTCCTCAAACACCATAATGCAAATAGATCAATTCTTCTATGGTTTTCTTTATTCATTGTCCAGAGACTTCCTTGGTAAGGATAAAATATTTTGAAATACTTTGTTTTCAGATATGGTGTCTGGTTTTCCTAAAATGCCTTAAGATTAATCAATTCACATACCAATGCTAATCACAGCACTATTCACAATAGCAAAAAGATGAGACAGTCTAAATTTCCATCAGTAGAAGAATGGATAAACAAACTTTGGTGTATATATAAACAATGATTTGGTACATACACACAATGAATAACGATGAATCTGTGAAACATCTCATATAGATGAACCTGAAAGACATTAAGTTGAGTGAAATTAGTCAATCACAAAAAGACAAATACTGTTTGAGACCACTATTATAAAGTGGTCAAGAAAAGGTTTTCATGCTAAAAGAAGCATTCTTTGATGGTTGCTATGGGTGGGAGGGAAGGGAGAATAATTCAATCGCTAGAGGGTAGACACATGTTAACTTGGGTGATGGGGTGAGCAATATACAAGACGGAGGTTGACAGAAGAATGATGAAGACCGGTGAGGACACAGGGAGGTATGCAAGGGTTAAAGGGGATAGAGGTAAACAGTGATATGCACACAAACTTGGAACAACAGTGTTCTGTGGGTAGCTACATCAACAGATACACAGGATGAATAGTTATGGGAGGAAGAGAGGGAATATCCCCACAAATACATAAAGGCATGAAAGAGGATATTTGTACATGAGTATTTACATTTGCTGCAAAGACACCTATGAATTTGGTGGAGCATACAGGGGGCAAAAGCACATTATCAAACATCTTATATATTATCAAACATCTTAAGGCAATGAATTGCTGGGCCTGGGGGCTCAGGACCATAGTCTCAGGGGACACCATGTTCAATTGGCATAACACATCCCATGAAGAAAATGTTCTGTATCCTACTTTGGTGAGTAGCATCTGGGATTTTGGAAACTCATGAGCAGCCATCTAAGGTGCAACTATTTGTCTCTCCATGTGCAGAAGAAACAAGAGTAATGAGAAATGAAGATGCTTGGAATCAGTGGAGTAATAGACCATGTGAACATCAGTCTGCAGACTTTGTGACCAGAACTAAATGGTGCTCTGAAAGAGATCATATCAGAAAGACCCAGATAAAGTGGGAGAAAATGTGGAACAAAACTCAAAATTATATTAAAAAAAGACCAGGCTTATGGTCAGAAAGAGACTGGAGGAATCAGAGACTATGGCCTTTAACCATCCTTCATGTCTGGAAAGGAACAACTTACCCTCGTGGCCCAATTTGCAGCCCAGCAGTAGATAGATATATAGGGGGACAACAATACTAGTAATGCTCACCATAGAATGGTCAATCATTCCAAATTAAAAAGGCAACATTTATCTAAGGACAAAGTTGAGAAGGGATGGAAAGAAGGTTGGTCTGGAAATAGGAACCCCAGGGAGGAAGTGGGACAACTGTTGTTGCATGGAGGGGATTATTTATGATCATTGAGATGAAACAAAGTGTATGATTTGTTGAATGTAAAACCGATGATCTTCTTTGTAAACTTTCATTTAATTCACAATAAAAAGTAGAGAAAAAAGAGAAATCAATAAATATGTAAATAGTAAACAGGTAGTTACACAACAAGGTGACAATAGGTGAGTACAGGAGAACAGTCAAAACAGCTTCCTAGTGGAAGTGAGGGCTACCCTGAGACCTGGAAATGAACAAATATTTGCTGAGATGAAGGGGTTTGCACAAGAAGGAATGTTCCAGGCAGAGGGAACAGCAAACAAGTGCTTGCAGAAATGAGGTAAGGACAGGGCCTTGTGCAATACCTGGACCAGACGCAGGAGAATGGCCAAGTTCTGGAGGGCATGGCATACATGCATCATTTTCTGTTCCTTCCTTCCCAAGTTGCTTTCAGATGGCACCTGCTTCACCTGCTTCAAGAGCTGATAGTGTTTCCTAGGTGAATGTCCTCCTCTAACAAATCCCTTTATTCTGTTATCATTTTTCTGCCAATCCTTGCTGTTTTCTTCCTGGCCTTGTAGGGTCCTTATTAGGACCCATCTATTATATCCCATCCCAACTCTGCAGAGTACAGAGCTGCTCACTTGAAAACTTGCAGTGACTCTACTTAGCCTGCCTTGTCCCTTTCTAGTGTCTTTGTGCACCATATGTGAGAAAATGCTTCATAAATTATGAGTGCTGCTTCCTATGATACTTGCTCCAAATGGTCCTCCCCAGGGCCAGTTGTTGTTAGGTGTTGTTGAATTGATTCTGACACATAGCTACTCTCTATGCAAAAAAGAACAAGAAAATGTTTGAGCTCATTGCTGCTGCCACTGTGCCCATCCATCTTATGGGGTTTTCCTCTTTTTTGTTGACCCTCCACTTTACCAAGCATGATGTCCTTCTCCAGAAACTGGCCCTCCTAATAATATATCTGAAGTATAAGAGACAAAGGCTCAATATCCTGGCTTTTAAGGAGCATTCTAGCTGTACTTTGTCCAATACAGATTTGCTTGCTTTTCTGAAAGTACTTTTAATATTCTTTTCCAATACCATAGTTCAAATGCATCAATTCTTCTATGGTCTTCCTTATTTGTTGTTCAACTTTCAAATGCATATGAAGTTATTGAAAATACCATGGCTTGGGTCAGGCACACCTTAGTCCTCAAATCTGTTCTTGAATACTTTAGAGATCATGTGAAGCAGATTTGCCTATTGCAATATGTCATTTGATTTCTTTTTCTTTAATGTTTTATTGTGAATTATGTGATAGTTTACATGGGAGATCATTAGCTTTACATTCATTCTATTGTACATTGTTCCATTGC